AAAACTAAAATTACCTTTTCCACCAACAATTTTTGAAGTAGTAAGGAAAATACTGCCATGCAGAAGATCCAGTGTTTCTCCCCTCAATTTGTCTGCTTCAGCATCAACAAGGGCAAGTTCATCAACCAATTCCTAAAAAACATGAAAGTTCTGAATAAAATGTTCCTACTCTTTTTATTTTTTTATTTTTTTTTTGATTTTTTTTTTTATTGTAAAGCTACTATACAGAGGGTTACAGTTACATGAGTGAGGTTATGAGTACACTTCCTCTTGAACATTGTTACCCCCTCCATTGTTTTCCCCCTACCATCCCCTCCCTCCCTCCCTTCCCCGAGGTTCTTTTTTTTTTTTTTTGATTGTGATTGAGTGATTACATAATTTCAAAGTCACAAGTTCATTCTAACTTCCCTGGAGCAAATTGTCTACCACAGTCTGTAATATATAACAGTGTTCACATGTTATATACCATATTTGTGATCAGCAGCATGGGGATATTTAGCAGTGGTTCAACCAGATGAGCGGGAGTTCTTTGTTTCTTAAGTCCTGTTAGTTTTGTCGTATCACCTAACCTTTTGGATTTAGCATCCACTTATCAGGGAGACCATGTACCGTTTGTCTCTTCGTTCTTGGCTTACCTCGCTCAACATGATTCCTTCTAGCTCCATCCATTTCCCTGCAAATGCCATTATTTTGTCATTTCTTATGGCTGCATAATATTCCATTGTGTATAGATACCACAATTTTTGGATCCATTCATCTGTGGTGGGGCATCTAGGTTGTTTCCATATCCTAGCTATTGTGCCTACTCTTTTTAAATTTAATTCACTTTATTGTTATTATAAACATGATGTACAGAGGGGTTAGAATTACATGAATCGGGTAATGAGTACATTTCTTTCCTACAGTGTCTTCTATTCCCTCACTCTCTCCCTATCCCTCTCCACCTAAGTTTTAAAAGAATGAGAAAAATTTTGAATCCTAGCTACTCAGGAGGCTGAGATCTGAGGATCATAGTTCAAAGCCAGCCGGGTCCTGCCCATGAGACCCATCTCCTGCACCACCAGAATATCGGAAGTGGTACTGTGGCTCAAAGTGGTAGAGCCCTTGCTTTGAGGGAAAGAGCTCTGGGACAGAGCTCAGGTCCTGAGTTCCAGCTCCATGACCGAGAAGAGACTGACTGCCCAACAACTAAGTCAAGGGAGGACATCTACACCCACATATACAGAGACCATGTCTTGTTCTGTCTGAACTGGACACAGTATTACTTGAAGTCAGTCTACTCAGACATTTTCCAATTACACAAATATATAAACTCTGCTTACTATAATTTTGTTTTGCTTTTTTTTTCTTTTCCTTTCTTTTTTTTGTTTTGTTTTGTTTTGGGACAGAGTCTTACAATGTAGTTTTGGCTGGCCAGAACTCGATCTCCTGTATCAGCGTCCTGACTGCTGGCATGTGTCCGATTGTACATTGATCCTCCTACACACACTTCTGGCTACAGGTTTGCGCTGCTGCCTCAAATGTTCCTTAAGTCGGATCAAGATTCAACAGATGAGAGGAAACTTGTTTGCTGTGAAGGCCTAAATCGTACAATCCTGAATCCAACACCTTTAAGACCCAAAAGTGCTTACTGCAGTTGCAGGCCCAGGCTGCATTTACCTTCATCAAGATACAAATAGCACAGGCCATGCCTACAGAACCAGCTCCAACAATGGTGATCTTACAATTGGGGATGTTATCTTCTGCAGCTACCTTGGAAATAAGCTGCTCTTTGATAGTTGTCATTTTGGGGCCCTGCTAAGAAAAATGCCGGGTTATGAGTGAAAACAACCCTTCCTTGCAGTTAGGAAGTGGTCACCACAGTGAACACCTAAGGAAGCCAAGAGGGCCTGAGTTTGTAGGATGGCCGGGACCAAGGGTGGAGGGAACCCAAAGAGATCCACCTGGCTAAACAATGTGGGGCTAAAACAGGCTTCTGCCTATCCGTGAAAGGGCTCTTAGTTTGTCCCACCCCAGCCCCAACTGGTTTTCACCCAGCACCAGATGCTCACAAATGATCTGTTTACCGCAACTCAGAAGTCCCCAAAGCGCCACCCACTGTCCCCTAAAGAAGGAAAACTGAAGAACACGGAGAAAAGAGCCCAACTGCAGCGAAGCCCATTGAACGTTACACACCCAGGAAGCAACGGCAAACTGGCCCACCCCCGCGCTCACGCACGCCCCTCTACGTCAGCACGCAGGCACCGCCCCCCGCCGCCGAGCGCATGCGTGTTGGGCAACGTCGGGCAAAGAGAGATGGGTTTGCTGAGGCTGCGGAAGCTGGGCGGGTCCTGCGCGGAGAGCCTCGCGAAGCTCATTGATCCGACAGGCCTAATTTGCAACTTTCTGAAAAGGTGTGCTGGGTGACCCTAAGTCCTCCAACATGAAAGGAATTTGAGTAAAAAGGGTGGTCTTGGGAATGATTATCCTTTTTTTTTTTTTTGGTCAGTCGTGAGGCTTGAACTCAGGGCCTGGGCTCTGTCCCTGAACTCTTTTGCTCAAGGCTACCTCTCTACCACTTTGAGCCACAGCTTCACTTCTCTTTTCTGTTAGTTAATTGGAGATAAGAGTCTCACCTGCCTGGAGTGGCTGATTATCCCTTTTGATCACGACCTCTCCAACACATCTATTTGCAGGCATTAAATATATATCTATATCTATCTATCTATCTATCTATATATATCTCAGACAGATGCTGGTGGCTCACCCCTATAATCCTAGCTACTCAGAAGGCTGAGATCTGAGTTATATAAGAGAAAGATCTGAGGATCTCGGTTTGAAGCCAACCCTGGCAGGATAGACTGTGAGACTCTCATATTCAATTAACCACCAAAAAGCCAGAAGCAGAGCTATGGCTCAAGTGGTAGAAAGCCAAGCCAACGCAGAAGGCCCTGAGTTCAAACCCAACGACCGATAAGAAAAATTATCTTGTAACTTCAAGAGCAGGAGCTGGAATCACCTTTAAATATCCCTTGATAGCTGGGCAGCAGTGGCTCACACCTATAATCCTAGCTACTCAGGAGGCTGAGATCTGAGGATCACAGTTAAAAGCCAGGATGGGCAGGAAAGCCCAGGAGACTCTTATCTCCAATAAACCACTCAGAAAACTGGAAGTAGCACTGTGGCTCAAGTGGTAGACTGGACAGCACCCAAGCCCAGAATTCAAGCCCCACAACCAACCAAAACACACACACACACCTTGAGGGAAAAGTAGCCAGGGCCTGGGTGCTGTCCCTGAGCTCTTTTGCTGAACGCTAGCACTCTACCACTTTGAACCACAGTGCCATTTCCAATTTTCTGATGGTTAATTGGGGATGAGTCACACTTTCCTGCCCTTTGCTGGCTTCAACCTGGGATCCTCAGCTCTCAGCCTCCTGAATAGCTAAGTTGTCAGACATGAAGCCACCAGCCCTGGCTCCAACTTTTTGACTCCAAACTTTTCCACTCTTAACCGGAGAGCTTTTTTTCCATTGTCTGGACATTTCTTTCTCCTGTCTTTCTTATGGTATCTTTCACAGTCTACTACTAACCACAAGCTAGAGGCCTCTCATGGCAAACCTGTTTGTACCATCATTTGATCATGTGCTTCTACACCAACCTTACTTATACCACAGGAATAAAAGCACTATGGCATAGATGACTTGCAAATTCAAATAATACACTTGCCTTCGGACCTTGAGGCTCATCTTAGTAATCAGAATGCTATGTGAACAGAAATTACTCCTTATGCTTCCAGACTTACTGTTTTACTGGACTGCAATAATCATAGGAGTCGACTTCTCTATTTACTCGTAACATCACATCTTGGGATAAGAGACATGTAACACATCTTTGAAGTCCTGATAATTTTATTTTGTTAACATGAGCTTAATTTGGCAACATGAGCTTTTTGGAAGAAATGTAGAGTATCATATTTGCTTTTCCAGCAAGTAGCCACTTGTGTGCATATAGGACCTGCTTAATCAACTCCTGAATGTAACTGACTCAGGGTACCTTGCAGAGTTACTCTATTCCTTGGTTGGAGACAAAGCACCAGCTAACCAAGAATATTGAAGCAAAAAGCATAAAACTTTACAGGATTACATCTCAACTCCCAGAATATTTTTTAAAAATCTAATAAACCTATTTTGCTTAAGTATTACTCTTCAGTGATACTGGCGCATTGGCTTATTGCATCAAATAATATGAAATTAAGGTGTTCTTTCAAAAACACTTAAGAAGCTGTGTGTCGGTGGCTCACACCTGTAATCCTAGGTACTCAGGAGCCAGCCCAAGCAGGAAAGTCTTATCTCCAATTAACCACCAGAAAACCAGAATTGGTGCGGTGGCTCAAGTGGTAGAGTGCTTGCCTTGAGTTGAAGAGCGCGGGGACAGCACCAGGCCCAGAGTTCAAGGCCCATGCCCATGACCACCACCACCACCAAAAACACTGAAGATACCTCAAAGTTAACAAAAACCATTGGGTACTGGTGGCTAACACCTGTAAACTTTCCTACTCACAAAGCAGAGATCTAAGGATTGCCAGCCTGGAAAGGAAAGTCAGTCCTTGAGACTTTGATCTTAATTAGGGAGATTAACTACAAAAGAAGGAGAAGTGGAGCTGTTGCTCAAATGGCAAAGTGCAATAACTGAGCATAAAAGCTCATGGACAGCATGCAGGTTCAAGACCCAGGACTGGGGCTGGGAAGGTGGCTCAGTGGTACAGCACTTGCCTTGCATGCATGAGGCCCTGTGTTCGATTCCTCAGCCACCACTATGCAAAAAGAAAAAAGCCGGAAGTGGTGCTGTGGCTCAAGTGGTAGAGTGCTAGCCTTGAGCTGAAGAGCTGAGGGACAGCGCCCAGGCCCAGAGTTCAGGCCCCACGACCAGACCCCCCCCAAAAAAAAGACCCAGGACTGGCACAAAAATATATTAAATCAAAGACTGCTCATTAGTTAATAAAATGGCACTCTTCTAAGATATTAAAATCAACGAAGTAGTCACTGTTCAAGGTTTATTTGGTGTTTTAGTCTGACATTTGGATAGGTGTTGCATTGTTCATATATAGCTTTTTACATTACATGCCAATGTACACTACTTATATATAGTACACAAAATATCTTTTAGAACAGTAATGCACGTGACATGCAAAAATGGATTTATACAACAGATCCCAGGAAGTGTGATTGGAAAAAGATGTTGGAACTAGGCATTTTGGTGAAGTTACAGAGCACACAGTAACACATCTGGTTCAAAGGGCAGTTAGGGACTGTGCACCATTCACTGGCAGTGGTGTTTCAAGAGAGGGTGAAATTGTTTTACAGTAACCAGTTTACAGCTACAGAGGTACCATCCACCATCAGAATACAGCTGCAGGTTTTTCTGAACCAGTCCTATTTCTAACTTCAGGAAATGGATGCTTTTCCCAGGTCGTTTTATAATACTACTGCTTTAGTCCCTTATAGCTATAAGGGACAACATGCATAACCTCCGACTTAAAATCCTCTTATAGCCTAGACAGTGAAGTGGTACATATAGAAGACTTTAAAATTGCAGCTCCTTTTGGATTCCCCAAAGTGTATCTGCACTCTTCTTCAAGCGGGCCTCTTCCTCAGGAGTCAGAGTGACCTTCACCACATCTGAGATTCCATTCTGTCCCAGGATGCAAGGAACGCTAAGGAAGACATCATCCTTTATTCCATAGAGACCCTGAAAGGCAAAAAGAAAAGCACTTTAGATTCTGTCTATATATTCTCAGGTTTTTAGTCAAGTTATCAAGTGATAATGTGTTAAACAGTCCTAGCGGAGATTATCCTACAGAATAACTCATTTTGTTCCAAAAATGGAAATGTTATGTATATTAATTTCATTTTAATCACTGATTGAAGACTTCCATTAATTTGACATCGGAAGTCTTAAAAGCTAAGCATCAGTGGATAACACCACAATCCTTGTTACTCAGGTAGACATCTGAGGATAAAAATTCAAAGACAGCCCAGGCAGGAAAGTTTATGGGACTTTTAACAATCACCAGAAGTGACTCAGTAGAATGTCAGCCTTCAGCAAAATACTAAGGGACGGCCCCCGAGGCTGATTTCAAGCCCCAATACCAAGACACATAAATACACATACACACAAGAATCTTCAGGAAAATAACAATGAAATAAAGGACTGAAATACAATGCATCATTGCACAGACATACCTTGATCATGGTGGAAATTGGATGCACTCTCCGAAGATTCTTCATAATGCTTTCTGCTAAATCTGCCACAGACAGTCCAATGGCCCAGGATGTATAGCCTTTCAGTTTGATCACCTCATAGGCACTGTAAGTGGGGAATGATAGGAAAGAGGAAGAATACAGAAACTCAAAGTTTTCACTGAGTGCATTTGACCTAAATAATGCTACAATGTGGCATGAAGGCTATCCCAACAGTACTCTTAGTAATAGGAAAGTTAAAAAGGTAAACCCCATGCTCTTACATGGTCATATAAGGATTATAGAACTGCCAATTATAGCTACTTACACCAAAGCTACTGTTCCTTGGAAGAGTTGTATATTAAAGGAGTATTAGCAGGGGGCTAAGGAAGGGGTATTACAAGTTTGAAGCTAGCCTCGACTACAGTGAGACCAATTATGAAAATATATCATGAATCAATTTTATACACCCAGAGTTCCACATAGGCCTCATAGTTTTATAAGTAAATGTCACCTAGATGAAACCACCTCTCTTGTTTCTTTACATTTTAGTACCATTGTGAATTTAGACCTTGCTAATAACTATTATCTGAATAAACAATAGTGAACTCTATTTAATCTAAAGCTGTTTATATCCATAAGGAATTTAATACAGGAGGTAGGTCTGGTGTTGTATTCCTGTAATCCCAGCTATTCAGAAGATAGAGGCAGGACTGTAAGCCAGAGGCCAATTTGGACCAAGTTAGCAAGACCATTTCTCAAAACCAAAAAGCCAGCACCAGTGGCTCACACCTGTAATCCTAGCTATTGGGATAGCTAAGAGCTGAAGGTCAGTTCAAGGTCAGTCAAGTTAGAAAAGTTCATTAGGCCCCCTTTCAACTGACAGTTGAAACGGTGGTGTGTACCTGATATCCATTACAAAATTGTCAGTACCATAATACAATAAGCTTGATTTCTAAGGTTTTATACCCAAGTGAACAAGTCACCTATGTTGTTCAACAACAGTAGCTCATGCCTATAATCCTAGCTACTCAGGAAGCTGAGATCTGATGATCAAGGTTCAAAGCCAACATCAGCAAGAAAGCTGGTGAGACTCATCTCCAATTAACCACCAGAAAACTGGAAATGGAGCTATGGCTCACAGTGGTAGAGCACTATCCTTGAGCAAAAGAGCTCAGGGACAGGCATTGGTGGTTCACACCTGTAATCCTAGCTACTCAGGAGGCTGAAATCTGAGGATCACAGTTCAAAGTAAGCCTGGGCAGGGAAGTTCGTTTAACTCTTACCTCCAAAATCAAAAAAACAAAAAAACAACAACAAAAAATACTCTCAGAAAGCTAGAGCGGTGCTGTGGCAAAGCGCTACCCTTGAGCACAGAAAGGCTCAGGGACCATGGCCAGGTCCTAACTTCAAGTCACAGGACCCGGGGAGAAAACTCTTAATCTTAACCTTCCATGTTGTCAAATTAGGAGATCTATTACCTGTCAACAACCTGTTTATGAACCGTTTTCCACTGTTCCTTATCTGCATCAGTGCCTAAATCAGGATTCAGATTCTTGAAGGAGACACCAGCAACATTCACTCCACTCCACACTGGTACTAAAAAGAAAAGGTACAGGATATATTTATTTCTATGCACCAACGGACCAGTAATTTTAACACTCTCTCTCTCCTGGTTTGTTCTGGTCCTGGGACTTAATCATTGGGCCTCATGCTCTTGAGTAGCTTTTTTGCTCAAGACTAGATCTTGATCCTCAGATCTCAACCTCCTGAATAGCTAAGCCTTGAACCATATTTTTAATTCTCGTATCCGAAGAGGAAGGTTATCCATTTTTTTGTTGGATGGTTAAGACTATCTAAAACTAAGAACTGCATTATCTAACCTATTTTCCTGGAGTATTTAATGAACATGTCCAAGGTAATTTCTTTTCATACAAAAAAATAACAAAAACAAAAACAAAAGCTAAGCACTAGTGACTTACACTATAACCCACCAGGATTACAAAAGGCTAGAATAAGTTTTAAGGGTTCAAAAAGAATCCTGGCAGGAAAGTCTTACAAGACTTTTCTAAGGACTTTAATTGAAGATCAATTTAACAGTAAAAATGCTGGACTGAAGTTATTCAACAGCAGAGGGTAGGACCCCAAATTTAAGCCCCATTATTGGAGAAAAATGAAGAGGGGACAGGCTATGCAGGAAACCATTCCCCTGGTTCGTGGATACTTGAAAGGCTCAAATCTGACAATGAAACACCAGAAATTTCTATGTTGTCTCTTAGAAACAGTAAACCTAGTGCTTACCACTTGAGTCTCCATGCTCCCCAAGAATCCATCCATGACAGCTTAGTGGGTGAACTCCCAGCCGTTCTCCCATCAGGTAACGGAACCGGGCTGAATCCAGATTACACCCACTTCCAATAACGCGGTTTTTGGGGAAGCCGCTTATCTTCCAAGCCACATAGGTGAGGATATCCACTATGAAGAAAGCATTTGAACAATGACATTAAGTGACTCATGAATAACCAGGACTTATGTTAGTATTTTTAGATCTGTTTATGACACATCCAAGGAATTATTATTCAGGAAATATTTTATGAAAATCAATTGTGCAGCAACTAGGAAAACAACTATTAAAATGTATCCCTTAAGCAATTAACTAGTTTTAAGTTCCAATTATGTTCAGAGGTATACATAATACAGGGATATCCCTGTAATGCTTTTAAATTAAGTATTTTATAAACCACAAATCTCTCCGGAAAATGAAGCATGAGAAATAAATCAATATACAACATGTAACATGCCATCAGTTTTGCTGTGGTTTGTCTTTTTTTTCCCCTCCTATCCCACCTACTAGCTGTACAGTTCATTTTCAACATAGTGTGCATGAGTACCACTGCTGCATTTGTTCACCCTTTCTCCCTCCTTTGCAGAGACAAGCCTCACCTGGATTGGAAACAACAAGCAACTTGCAGTTGGGGCTGTATTTCACAACATTAGGAATGATGAACTTAAAGATGTTCACATTTCGCTGGACCAAATTAAGACGGCTTTCTCCCTCTTGCTGACGGGCCCCAGCTGTGATAATAACCAGCTTGGAGTTTGCAGTCACACCGTAGTCTAAAGAAAAGAGGAAAGGACTCTTATAGATGGGACAGATAAACACTCTTACCACCTCCTAGATCTTTCCTTTTGTCTTAAGAGTTTTATAATTGTGATCCCTTAAACAGGGGAAGAGAAAATCAATGCTATTGCAACTTTTAACTACAATTTGAAGGAATCAAGTTTAACTTTCATATTAATCCCTTATACACCCCAACTCAGCTCATTTGTCATTCTTCCTCCTCCTATTTTCACTTAGCTCCTTAATCATCAAAAGACAAATCAATTCTCTCTTATTCTTCTTCTAGATACCCTATGGCTGCCCATTACATAAAAGGCCAAAGCGGGACTGGTAAAGCGCTTGCCTTGCATGCATGAGGCCCTGGGTTCGATTCCTCAGCACCACATAAACAAAAAGAAAAAAGACGTAAGTGGTGCTGTGGCTCAAGTGGTAGAGTGCTAGCCTTGAGCTGAAGAGCTGAGGGACAGGGCCCAGGCCCAGAGTTCAGGCCTCACGACCGGCCCCCCCCAAAAAAAAAGGCCAAAGAATTTCAATCCCAGTTTCCTGGTTGGTGCTAGGGTAAAGGTGAAGACGGGGAACCAAGAATACCTGTGGAATAACTCATTTACCCTATTCCCAAATTTGTGTTTGTGTGTGAAAGGAAATGGTGGAGTAACATTGAAATATTTGAGCTAGGGGTAGAGCTCAGCAGTTGAGCACTTGCTTAGTAACCATTCAAGACCCTGAGTGGAATCTCAGCATGAAATTAAGACACAAAAGCTGGAAACAATATGGTTAAAAAGCCTAAAGTTTGGAGCTTTACACATTCCATTCTATTTCAGATAGTTGCCATATCAGCAATAAACTGGATTTCCAGTTAAAATCACTTATTAGAGATGGAAACTTTGGTGGAACCAGTGAAAAATTATTCCCAGGCTCTCCTATACTGCATTAAAATAAAAATTCTCTGAAGAATTTTAGCCTAATCAAGAAATGAACAGAGTATAATAGAAAAAAATTAACCTTTGCCAGAGACAATTTTTGGCGTTTTGAGGAAAAGGCTGCCATGCTGGAGATCCATCATCTCTCCTTTCAGTTTGTCTTCCATGACATCAACAAGAGCAAGTTCATCTGCCAAGTCCTAAAAAAAAGAAAATTTTAGTTAAATGGTAAACTGCTGTTTCCAGATGTTTAGAAAAGCATAAAGTATTTCTGTGTTTCTGGCATAGGAGTTCTGCCAGTTGAGTTTAGGATATGCTTCAAAGTAGAGGCAGTATATTCTTTAAATTAGACTTAAGCTGATTAAAAACTTAAGCTGAAAAAAAAAACAAGTACAACTGCTCGGGCAGTCTGGAGGTTTCTCAAAACATTAAACGTAGATTTTCTCTATGACCCAGCCATACCACTCTTCAGCATGTACCCAGAACATCACAAGCCAGGATACCATAAAGACACTTGCACATCCATGTTCACTGATGCACTGTTCTCAACAGCCAAGTTATGAAAACAGCCCAAATGCCTTATAAAAGTGGATCCCAAAATCGTGGTACCTACCCACAATGGAATGTTACACAGCCAAAAGGAATAATATGGCTCTATAGGGAAATGAACGGACCTAGGACAAATCTTGTTAAATGAGGTAAGCCAGACTCATAGACAAGTGGTGCAGGTTTTCTCTTATTCAGAAATACAGAGACATGATAAACTAAACAAGACTAGGCATTTACAGTCTATGTGCCTCTGATTATATAAAATCCTTTTTATTTAAATAAGCTCCAAGAAATGGAAACAAGGTTTTCTTTGTGGGATTTTTTTTTGTCTTGTTCTTTTGTCTCTGGGAGGCAAGGGAAAGCACAGAAATGGAGGGACCAAGGGTGAACAAATGCAGCAGTGGTACACACTAGACACTACATTGAACTGTGTAACTTGTGGGTGGGGATGAGAGGGAAAAAGTAGGTGAGGGAAGAGATGACATTGTTCAAAAAGAAATGTACTCATTACCTGACTTAAATACCTCTGTACATCACCTTTATACTAACAGTAAAAAAATTAAAAATTGAAAAAAAAAAAGCTGATTAAACCCAGGCACTGGTGACTCATATATGTAATCCTAGTTACTTGAGAAGCTAATTCTAAAGATCATTGTTTGAAGCCAGCCTAGGCAGGAAAGTCCATGAGACTCTTAAACTCCAACTAACCATCAAAAAAAAAAAAAAAAAAATTCAGGCTGGAAATGTGGCTTAGTCGTCAAGTGCTTGCCTAGCATGCATAAAGCCCTGGGTTTAATTCCTCAGTACCACATAAACAGAAATGGCTGGAAGTGGTGCTGTGGCTCTCAAGTGCTAGCCTTGAGCAAAAACAGAAAAGAAGCAGGTTAAGTACCCAGGCCCTGAGTTCAAGCCCCAGGACTGGCCAAAAAAAAAAGAAAATCTACCACAGCTGGTGGGAAGACAGAACACTGATTAGCTAATACTACAGAATAACTTCTAAGTATGTAAACTGCCTTATATTCATTAATAGTTATATATATACCAATTGTAGGTTGTTATTCATTAGAAGATAATACCAAACAGTGTCAAAACATGGAATTAAAAGGCAACTGTCTGATTTATTTTCTGGTTGTTTTCCACTCAAAATTGCATTCCATCAATACTAATAGTTCAGAAGACAGAACACTGATTAGCTAATACTACAGAATAACTTCTAAGTATGTAAACTGCCTTATATTCATTAATAGTTATATATATACCAATTGTAGGTTGTTATTCATTAGAAGATAATACCAAACAGTGTCAAAACATGGAATTAAAAGGCAACTGTCTGATTTATTTTCTGGTTGTTTTCCACTCAAAATTGCATTCCATCAATACTAATAGTTCAGGGCTGGGAAGGTGGCTCAGTGGTAGAGCATTTGCCTTGCATGCCTGAGGCCCTGGGTTCGGTACCACATAAGCAAAAAGAAAAAAGCCGGAAGTGGCGCTGTGGCCCAGGCTCAGAGTTCAGGACCTACGACTGGACCCCCCCCCCCCCCCAAAAAAAATACTAATAGTTCTATATAGCTCAGACTTTGTTTGACAATTGGTGACTTCAGCCTGGAAACATCGACCATGGTCATAATACAAATTGGCTATGGTCTTCCATTACTACAACAGTTAACCTGCCTGCAGATCTACCACAAACCAACTATAATAAAATTATGATCTGGTAAGTATTGTTCTTACCCACACTGAGTCAGGGGCCAATGAAAAAGATCATCGATAGTTTATATGTGTAGGAAAACAATATCTGACCCAGCTGGTAAGAAAGAATGAGTTGATGGAATAATGCAGATTGAGTTCTATTGTTACAAGACCTCTGCATTGCTCACTTTTGCTGCCTTCTCACTTCAAGCCACTTCTGTTCTAAACACATTCACTGTCATCGGGATGCCATAGGTATACACAAACTATATTGAGGCTAGGAAGGAGAATTCAGAGTTTGAGGCCATGTTAGGCTACACACTGAGACTTTATCTCAAAAAAAAAGGAATGAAGGATACCTCCTTTTTTATGAATCAGGTTTGATTGAATATTGTAAGATGTGCATATTCACAAATTCTGTTTTCTACTTAAACTTTATCACCATAATTGATAAATTACTGTTTTGTTGGGTCCGGTCGTGGGGCCTGAACTCTGGGCCTGGGCGCTGTCCCTCAGCTCTTCAGCTCAAGGCTAGTGCTCTACCATTTGAGCCACAACACCACTTCCGGCTTTTTTCTTTTTGCTTATGTGGTGCTGAAGAATCGAACCCAGGGCCTCGAGCATGCAAGGCAAGTGCTCTACCACTGAGCCACCCTCCCAGCCCTAAATTACTGTTAAGGGAGGAAGATTTTTAAGATTCCTCAATCAGGGGCTGGGAAGGTGGCTCAGTGGTAGAGTGCTTGCCTTGCATGCTCAAGGCCCTGGGTTCGATTCCTCAGCACCACATAAGCAAAAAGAAAAAAAAGCCAGAAGTGGCGCTGTTGCTCAAGTGGTAGAGCGCTAGCCTTGAGCTGAAGAGCTGAGGGACAGCGCCCAGGCCCAGAGTTCAGGCCCCACGACCGGACCCCCCACCCAAAAAAAAAAAAAAAAAAAGATTCCTCAATCAGTAGGATTTTACCATATGCACATTATTATTTGTAAGTTTAAGAGTTTAGAATCATTTAAAGGTACATACACTCTTTTGTTATTGGCACTGGGTTTCCAGCCTGGTTAACTTTTTTTTTTTTAATAGTCCCTACTTTTATTTTTTTTTAAATTCTATTGTTAAGATGCTGTACAGAGGGTTTACAGTTACATGAGTAAGGTTATGAGTGTATTACTTGTCATTGTTACCCCTTCTGGCTAACTTCTGTAGTTTATCGCCCTGTTGCAAAAATGTTTCAGAGAAAATCTTTTGAATGAGTGCATGACCTAAATATTTTTATTTACAATGTAAGAAGTCAGTTTTTTGGAGATGGAGGGAAAGGGTAGAGTCAATTTATGGGCTTTACTTTCTTACCTTCATTAAGATACTGATGGCACAGGCCATGCCAACAGCACCAACACCAACAACTGTAATCTTGTTCTGCGGGACATGTTCTTCTTTAAGAAGATTCACAATCAGCTGATCCTTGAGACCTGACATTTTGGCCTGGGAATAACTGCTAAGACCCTACAAGGGAGGGAACAATCATTGTTATTGCATCCTCCACAATATTTTCTGTTAAAGAACTCTCCATTTACTTTCTTTTGGGTACTTGCCACTAAAAATAGTAAATGACTACAAGGATAGAAGGGGGATTAAAAAAAAAAAAAGGATGATCCAAAGGGTTGAAAGAACTCATGCTAGGGGGTCTGGTCTGGCTATGACAGGCCTCACCTTGCTCTGGAAAATAAATATTGATGTTTCGGTGTAAGAATAGTCTTCTGAGTCACTCATCTTGCCTCTCCAGTTTCTGGAGGGGCTGGTCTTCTCTTAGACAAGACCACTGCGAGCCACCCAAACTCCCCCCTGGCCACCTGGGACCCTTCAATAAGACCAGTGCCAAGATAAGGGGCCAAACTAAGTGCACAAGGCGCCACCAACGGCCACGAGGTACGACCTCAAGCCAAAGCCACGTGCTGGGAGGTCTGCGCATGCGCGTATACTGGCTACCCATCCCCCTTCCTTCCCGCCCCAGTAAACCACAAGTTTTATAACCCACTTATTTCCGGAAGATTGGCGGGAGGGGGGGAGCTAGTGAGCATGCGCACACGCATTCCAAAGCAAGTGGAGGCAGCGTGCCTAGCAGGACTCGGGGAAGCCCCACCGGCACAGCTGCGCGCTTTAACCCAGACAATCAGGAGCGTTTGGGTTCCTGATAGCGGACTATTCGTGTCTCTGAAGGAGCTCAGAGTCAGACTTTAGACTTGACTATAGCAGATGAGAGCCACGTGAAGCTGGCCCGGGCAGCCTGCCTGACCCGGGCCGGTGGCCAGAGTCAGACTTCAAGTCGCAATACCAGGAACCACCGGATGTTAACTAAGCCCAGGGAGGGGCCTCGCAGGGCTGCGCTACAGCCCCGTTGCCAGGCGTTTAGCCACCCAAGAGGTCTTGCCCGAACAGGAAGTGCAGAAAAAGCCGCGGCCGGGGATCTAAAGCCAGGAGCCCAGAAGTTTAATGGAACTGGTTGAACCCTTCGGGTTTCAGGGCTGGGAGAGGAGGCCTCCTGGTGCTCCTCCAACCCGGCACTGTCCTCTCTGGAGAGGATGCCACAGGTTGCATGCCCAAAGATCCAAGTCTTGACATTGTTCCAAAGGGCAAAAATATCCTAGGTCGGACCTCCAGGCCAGCAGCCCAGAGTCGCCAAGCTGGAAGTGGGTCTCCCCACAAATCATTGCTATTTCTGGCCAGCCCTGTAAGGTTGCTGCCGGCGGTGGGGGGCTGGGGAGAGGGAGGAAGGGGGTTCGTCCCTGCAGAGAAAACCCGCTGCACCACAAACCTCGGCCCCTGGGCGCAATGCATTAGTGAGGGTCCGTCTAGGGGGGCGAGGCCTGCATCCAACGCGGGGCAGACCCCCCTCCCCAGTTCTGCCGCCCTCCACCGTGCCGAGATGCCCCTAATCGTCTTTCAGCTGGCGATTCAAAGGGAGGGCCTGGTGGCGGGCGCTCTTCCTGGGGTTCGCAGAGGGCCCCCATTGCTCGCCCCACCTTTACACGTTATACCGCGCGCTCGGTACAATCTGGGACAGACACCGGCAGCTTCGTGCGCCCTGTCATTTTCAGGGCCCACCGGAGAGGCCCACCCGAAAGTCTCGGGGGGGGGGGGGCAGGGAGAAAAAGAAAAGCGAAGCGGGGCCCTACGCGGCTCTCGTCTTCTGAGGCTTTCCAATTCCATCGGCTCGAGTAACGCGGCCTCAAGTTTTGCGCACACGGTCGATTGCTGAATCTGGAGAGCCCCCCCTTCCCCCCCCCCCCACTCCCCGGCTTCAAGCCTGTAACACCCTAATCTCTCCTCATCTCCTAGTACCCCCTCCCTGCCCCGGGCTTTTCACCTAAGGCTGGGTGGGGTCACTTGCTCGGTTCCCCAGCGCAGCCGAGGCCAGCTTAGCGCAAGAAGGCTCCAAACCCACGCGTGGCCGCGTCTCTTGAGCTGCTTCTAGAAAACGGCGCCCACCCCCCCCCCCACAAACACACACTGGCCCCCTCGCCCGTGCGCCTAGCCAGAGGTGCCATAGGCACCGGGCTCTCCCGCGCCCTTGGGCGCGGAGGGGCGCGCGGAGTCTGAGCATACCCGGGGTGCACGGCGGGCGGGAGTCGGAGGCGCGCAGCGAGCAGATCCCGACTCAGCAACAGCGGCTCCTGCAGTCGGGCCCCGGCGAGGGAGGGGCCTTAAATCCAGCCCCGAGGCTGACGTCAGGGTGGAAGCCGGGCGGACGTGCGGGAACCCACGTGTGGGTCGGGTCGAGGGGCGGGCGCCCAGCCGGGCGGGGCACCGGAGAGGCCCTGGCGGCGCACGCAGCTGATGGACAGACCTGCAGGCCGGCCCACGTGCGCGGGGACATCTTAGGGAATGCCCAGCGCCATGCTGCTCTCTGGCCTCAGAGTCCTAGGCCAGTCCCCTGAGCCAGCGTGAAAACAGAAAAAGACTCTCAGCTGCATATTCCGAAAACTGTGGAGGGAAGCCCTGATCTGTTCTGCCACACGGCTTCCCAGGGCCTGACACAGCTGGGGCATGCAATCCAACAGTATTCGGTCGGAGAAGAGAAAGGAAATGTCTAGCACCTCACTCGACTGTCAGTCTGACGCTCCTTGTTCCCCTGCAGCAAAACTTTGTCCCAAACTCAGAGCGAAGCTTTGTCCTTCCAGACCTTGCAGGGTGACTCGGGTCAGATTTACATGCTTGTTTCTCCCAGGGGCAGCCATACCCCACACTATCTGTTCTGTTCTAGCGTTTCCAAACGTGTGTCCTTGTTAGCCCCTTAACCACCATTCCTTCTCTACTTATACCAGTTTCTTTTTGTTTTTAAACCAAATTTTATCTATGCACCTTTACTCATTGTTAGTTCCTTTAGCTGATCTGGCTTATCTCTCTTTAAACTATGAGCCTTTCAGCATTCCCCTACTGTGGTGTCATATGCAATATGTTTGGTGATTTTCCGTAGTGATAAAAAAAAAGACCAAGTGAAGGGAGGATTGTAACTTTCAGCCCCACTCACCAACCTCCAGGAAAAAAGGTGGTCGCTGGAGACTATAACCTTTCTAAAAAAATTATTTTCTTCCTTTTTTCATTAGCATATACTAGCTATACAAGGGGAACGTTTATAGAGACAAGTTCACACGTGCAGTGTGTTCCAATTAACCCCCAGCCTCCATCACCCCCAAGTTCCATTAAAAAGTCTTAAACAAGATCTGATATGCTTCCAGCTGCTGATCACAGGAAGTGCTGGGAGGGAGAAGCACTCTGAGGGCTCTGAGGCTCTGGAAGCAATGCTGTCACTTCCCCATTCCTGCTTATCTCTCCCAAGTGGCCGCCCATTTATAGTATCTTCCATAATGAACCACAAGGCTGGGGGTGTGGTAAGTGCTACCGAAGCTTGCAAAGCATGCACAAGGCCCTGGATGCCATCCCCTGTACCGTATAAGAAATACATACAAATTTTAAGATTTTACAAAATAGTAAAGGCCAGGTGGCAGTGGCTCACACCTGTAATCCCACTTACTCTGGAGGATGAAATATGACGGGCTGGGAATCTGGCTCAGTGGTAGAGTGCTTGCCCTGCATGCATGAAGTCCTGGGTTCTATTCCTTAGTACCACATAAACAGAAAAAGCTGGAAGTAGCACTGTGGTTCAAGTGGTAGAGTGCTAGCCTTCAGCAAAAGAAGCTCAGGGACAGTGCCCAGACCCTGAGTTCAAGTCCCAGGACTAGCAGTAATAATAATAATAAATTTTAAAAGAGATCTGAGGATCACAGTTTGGAAGCCAGCCAGGGAAGGAAAGTCTGTGAGACTCTCATCTCCAATAAAATATAGAAAAAGCTGGAAGTAAGCTGTGGCTCAAATGGTCGAGCGCTAGAAGAAGCTCAGCAACGCACCCAGACTCTGAGTTCAAGCCCAAGAATCGGAAAAAAAAAAGGTAAATTTTTTTCTTGGTTTCATGAATGACCCAAGCAAATGATCAAACCACAAGTAGGAGGTTTGATGACACCTTATAGTGACTGGTTCCAAACACAATCTCGTGGTACTGAGCCGTTAACCCATGGATCAGATGCTGTCTCTTGGTAGAAAGTGCTGGAATTGAATCGTAGGACACTCAACCAGTATTCACTGCAGAATTGCTTGATATGGAGGAAAAACACACATATCTGGCCACCGACAAGTTCTGATAATGAGATCAGAGGGGTAAAGTTTATTTTTTTCCATTCCATCCACACATTTATAAACCTACAGGATTGGTACCTCCTTCAAATGGACTTGGATTATAGGGCTCTGTTCCCCTATTAGGCAGTGAGCATCTCCAGCGCAGGGATGGCTTATTTCTTCCCTGTGCTTTCAGCACCAGCTCAGAGTGAACCCTGAGAAAGATCCATTGTAGTGGCTGTCTTCATCTCAAAGGGAAAAAGGATCCCCAACTCCAGAAACAGCAGGGCCCAGAAAGAGCATGGAAGCCCTGCTTGCCTATCAAACATGCCCCACGGCGGCTGGGGTGAAATCAGGCTGGGAGGCAGGTAAGAATTTTCACCGGAGACTTGGCAGCTTTGCAATGATGTAAGGTGCCTAGGCTGCATCTTCATTCTCCTAAATCAAGACACTTAACAACAGCTCACTCTAAGCACAGCTTCCCTCTTCTGATGCACAGCAGCCACTGTTTGTCTTCACAAAGATAAACCAAACCCCCTCTGATGAGGATCAGCTACTTACTATATGTCAGGCTGCAAGCTAGGCATCCTCATACTCTTCACTTGAACTCTTCGGGGGTAGGTATAATTATGTCTACTTTCCAGATTAGGAAACCAAAGTCCTGAGAGCCTTGGCTTTGCTAAGGCTGCTAAGTGATTTCAGCTGAGATTTTTCTAACCCTTAGCTGACTGATACCAGAGCCTATCCTTTTCTTTCTCTAGGATGTTATCTATCAGATCCCCAGCTCCTGCATTGGGCCAGATATTACCCATGGGGCTCAATCCAGACTCTGTCACACAAGTGGGCAGTGAGTGTCTGTGGGTGTCCTGGCTGCTTCAGCTGCAGCATTGTCTTCTGTCCCTAAACAGAGACTTACATTGTTGGTGCTCCTGGCTCTTGGGTTTGCAGATTCAGATGAAAATTTGTTCCACTGGCTTTCCTGAGTTTCCAGATAGGAGATCATGGGACTTCTCAGCCTCGGTAATTATGTGGACCAATTTCTCATAATATATCTCTTTCCATGTACTCTGCTATTCTACTAGTTCTGTTTCACTGGAGAACCCTGACTAGCACCATTCACATCGCAGCAATTCTGTACTAAAAGCAAAGCAGAGTGTGGAACCCATGGAATGAGGCAAGAAGCACTCTTTGAGGGGCAGAACTGATTTTTCAAATATTCTTTGAATGTTTCCCTTGTTGATAGGGGAAAATCTTACAAAGAAATTATTTGACCCAGGAGACAGACTGCCTTAAAGAATGGTTGGATTGGGTGGGGGGGAGGGGGGAGGCTGGGAAGGGAGGTGAAGGGTAAACAAAGGAGGAGGCTGCAATGCTTGGTAAGAAATGTATGCATTATCCTGCCCATGTAATTGTAACTCCTCTGTACAGTATGTTCTCAAATAAAATAAAATAAAATTAAAAAAAAAAAAAAAGAATGGTTGGTACTCAGCGTCTACTCTAAGATTTATTTTAGATGGGTTAGATGGGTCTGGCCAGAAGGAAAGCCAGAACACAGTTCCATGTCATACTTCTTGTGTGTGTGTTCTTCCTGGGGCTTGAACTTAGAGTTTGGGCACTGTCACTCAAGACTAGCACTGAATACCTTCTGGCTTTTTGCTAGTTAACTGGAAGTAGGAGTCTCATGGGCTTTTTTGCTCTGGCTGACGTAGAACTATGATCTTCAGATATTAGCCTCCTGAGTAGCTAGGATTATAGTCCTGAGCCACCTGCACCAGACTTGAGTCATTCTTTTATTTAGTATTATGACTCCCCTCCTCAGGGGCATTAATTAGCTCCTCACTGTGTCCAGAATAAAATTCAAACTCCTTGGACAGGTGCACCAGTATCTATACTCTCTGGTCTAGTACTTATGTTCCCTTTCTGGCCTCATCTCCTGTTTTCTTTTGTACTTCTTGCACACCAGTCTCAAGTCCACTCTTCACATGACTCAAATGTGTCATGTACTGTCCCATATCTCTGCCACCATCCTAACCCCTCTGAGCCTCACATATTCAGAGTGCAAGCTCCAGGGTCCTTAGAGTTTACACCAAATTCATTCTTTATCTTTGAACTCTTTCTCTCCCGAACCAGGAGCAACTATTAGAAACTTTCTCACTCATCTCCATAGCCTTGACACATACATGTATTTAATTTGGAATTAAATACCTAGTGTGTAAAGGGACTATGCTAGACACATTCAAAATGACACATTTGTTATCAGAAATAATGTCACAGGGTTTTGGAAGCAGGTTTTTTTTTGGGGGGGGGTCCAGTCGTGGGGCCTGAACTTGGGCCTGGGTGCTGTCCCTCAGCTCTTCAGCTCAAGGCTAGCGCTCTACCACTTGAGCCACAACACCACTTCCGGCTTTTTGCTTATGTGGTGCTGAGGAATTGAACCCAGGGCCTCAGGCATGCAAGGCAAGCGCTCTACCACTGAGCCACCTTCCCAGCCCCTGGAAGCAGGTGTTTTGTGTGTATGGTACTTAGGATGAAACCCATGGCCTTGTGCAGGCTAGACAAGTATCCTACCAGTACAGCCTTGTGAACAAGTTATGGTAACAGAAGTCTATGTATGCTGAATCCTGTGTAGATTGTTTTAAACCTTACAAAGGCAATTTCTTGGGGCATTCCAAGGACAGCTGGGTATAGTGGCATACACGCACAGTTCTAGCTACTCAGAAGGGAAGAAGGGAAGATAGTTGATTGGGAGAATCAGCCTGTGCAATATAGCAAGCTCTACCCAAAAGTAAACAGAAAGAGACAGGGGAAGGAAAAGGAAAAGACAAATTTATAAGTTTTCAAAAACCAAAGTAGAGAGACTCATGCCTGTAATCCCAGCTATTCAGGAGGTAAAAATAGGGAGAACTGAAGTTCAAGGTTAGCCTAGGTAAAAAGTTAGCAAAACCCCATTTCCACTAATAAACTAGGCTTAGTGTTTTACTCTTATAACTCTAGCTGTAGTGGAGGCATAGGCAGGAGGATCATGGTCCAAGGTG